TTGATTTCCCCTTACGATTTGGGGCAACATAGCAGCATAATAGATTCATGTGTGGAGTCTGGAGAGGTCTAGTATGTACTTAGACTTATTGAAGATAATGTGAGCCCTAGAACTTATATGACATATTCCTTTTGGTGTATATTTTTCAAATATGAAGCATATTCTTCAATAAAACTTTCACTGTCCATAATTTTTATGTTTGGGTTGTGAGTCTGAGTCCTTAACAGCTAAGCTATCCCTCCATCCCATTATCAGTGGTTTTGAGTGAGAGAACTAATTTTTCCTTACCCTACTCTATTACTTTGCTAGGGCTATAATAACAGTATACCACGGGCTAAATAGCTTGAACAGCAGAAAGTTTCATAGTTCTAGAGGCTAGAAATCCAAGATTAAGGTGTCTTGAGAGTTTAGTTCCTTGTGATGTCTCCCTCTGTGTCCTTACATGGCCTGTCTCTGTGCATATGCATTTCAGGTGTCTTCTTACAGACACTAGCTAGATTGAATTAGGGCCTATCCCAAAGACCCTGTTTAATCTAATCACCCCTTTAGAGGTCCTTTCTCCAAGTATCACACAAGCTTGGCTTGGGTGAAATTGTCATTTCACCCTAAAACACCCCATCTCACCCTTCTTAGACCTGATTGAGAATTTCTGTTCTTGGTTTTTTTCTCCTCCTTCTCAGAAGGGAAAGAAAAGCTACCCCTTACATAAGGAGAAGAGAGTTAGTGTAGGAGAAAAGAATGGTTACTCAAAAGGTCCTTCTGAATGCTGTTTAAAGGAAATTAGAAAATAACATTGAAGATAGAGTAGAAGCTCAGAGAGAAAGAGTAATGTTAAATGTCATATGCAATATGAATATAGAATAAATTGAAAGAATATACTTTGAGATTGTTCTGGTGGTAGCATAAGGTCCTAATTAAGAAAAAAATGTGTTATATTTCTGATTTTCACTGTAATATATGGGATCCTGCCCTTTGAGAATGATCTATTCCCTGCTAATAACTCTGTTGTTAACAGAGATGACTTTAAAAATGTATTCCACTTGGTTTTAGACATTTCAAAGTGACTATGAATTATATATAACTGTCATTTAAAATTTTTACTAAATGAAAATACTTTTCTCCTGATGAGAACATTTCCTTAGCACTTATTTTACCATATATATTCATATGATCTTACAGAGTGGCAAACATCAGCAGATCTCAGGCAGACTTCAAGATGTCCGACTCAGAAAACAAACACAAAAGACTGAGCTGGAAGTTCTGGATAAGCAGTGTGACCTGGAAATTATGGAAATTAAGCAGCTTCAACAAGAACTTCAAGTAAGCCTTTTGCTCCTAAATTATTCCTAGACATGCACAGTAATCAACAATTCTTCCTAACAGAATAGTTGTGCTTTGGACATCATGAACTCTCTGTGTTTCTGATATACCTATATATGTATGTATGTATGTATGTATGTATGTATGTATGTATATGTATAAGATGATGTGTGCATATACACACATACACATAAATACACACACACATATATATACATATATATATACTCAGACATACACACAGACATGCAGAGACATACACGGAACTCACTATCTAGACCAGGCTGGCCTTGAACTCAAAGAGATTTGCCTGCCTCTGCCTCCTGAGTGCTGGGATTAGGCATTCACAGTATAAACCTGGCCAATATATCTTATTATGTTATTATATCATAGGTATATCTGGTATATACATGTATATACAAGTATATTGTTTCACAAGTATATTACATTAACCTGTATATAACACCAAGTCTCTAGGCCTCCTAAAACCATCCTGGGCATGTAGTTAAGTTCCACTTAATATTTATACATAAAAACATTATTTTAAACTTTAGCTCTAATAAAACTGTTTATATATTTGTTTTAGTCCATTCCCATTTCTATTGGAATATCTTAGACTGAATAATGTAAAAACAACAGAAATCTGTTGCTCATGGTGTGGGTATGGGAATTTGAGGATCAAGGCACTAATATACTGTCTGATGAGGGATTGCTTTCTGTTAAAAAGATGGCGTCTTCTTCCTGCACACTCACATGGCAGAAGGAACAAGGCAACTCCCTGCAATTTTTTTTTTTTTTCCAATTCTGAGCTCAGGTCAAGTGTAGAAGCCTTCATAGAGACAAAGTTCAGTAATAGTCTTTTCATCATTGCTCTCAACTTCTTTTAAAAGGACACTAATCTCATTAATCAGGGAAGAGTCCCCATGATTTAATCACTTCCTAAAGCCTTACCTCTTAACTATAGCATTGGGAGTCAGGGATCAATATATGAATTTTGGCAGGATACCCACATTCATAATATATGCTATATACATATGTATTACAATAAAGTTGTTGCTACTAATTTTGGGAAATATTGACTTGAAGTAACTTTTTTCAGAATTGTGGTAAGAGAATATTGTATGTTTCTCCCAGAGGCCTGGTTCTTTACTTGTGCAATAGGGTCTGGTTCAAGTGTTGTTTGAAGATGGGGATATTAGAAGCTGTACCTGTAGAGTCCTCTCATGCAGTTTCTTTCACTGCAAGGGTAAAAAATCTGGCTTCTCCTTTTTACAGCAGATACAGACAAAAGCAAAAACATTTCTTACCAGATTTAAACCTGCTTCCCTGTATCTCTCTGAGGTTTTAATTTTTCTTTGATATACATAAATACATGTATATATGGAGTGTCATGGCCTATTTACTCATGCTGTCTAGTACACAACAGCCCCTTTGGCCAACTATCATCTATTATAATGCAGAAATGTATAGGTCTTTAGATAGAAAACATTGATAAAGACTTTACTTACTACCTTTAAATTTTACCAACTATTCGTAAGTATTTGGTTAAATATTTGCTTTTTAAGTCCTGTATCATTCCTTTTTACAATTATGTATCATTCCTTAAAATCCTTAAAAGTGGTTAGAACATGTTTTAAATTTTTCAAAAATTTCTTGGACATTACAGACTTTTAATCATATTCTAATTTTCTTTTCAAAAGGAATATCAAAATAAGCTTATCTATTTGGTACCTGAAAAGCAACTATTAAATGAAAGAATTAAAAATATGCAGCTAAATAACACACCTGGTAAGTCTTTAAGTTTTGTTTTGTCTGTTTAACAAGGTCTCCCTGTAGCCCTAACTGGCCTCAATCTCACAGATCCACCTGCCTCTGCCTCTGCCTCCTGAGTGCTGGGATTAAAAGCATGTGCTACCACACCTGACTGTAACTTTTTGTTTTTTTTTCAGTCTTTTTGAGACAGGGTCTCCCTGTAGTCCCAGCTGGCCTGGAACTTTTTAAAAATAATATTTTTGCCTAAAGTTAAAAATTTCAAAATAATGTGAAAAACATCACAGATTATATTATACAATCTGTATATAATAATATACAATCTGTGTATAATATTGTGTATATCACAGTTTTTTTCTCATAGCTGTGACCAGATGCCTGACAAGAAACAAGGGAGAAAAGGTTTATTTTGACTAACAGTTTTGCAAAGATACCAATAAAACAGTGGGAAAGGATGATCTCTTATATAAATAGTACTGGAAAACAGGATAACCATATACAAAAGAATGAAACTGGGCCTTATCTTCTATACATGAAAATAGCTCAAAATGAATTAAAGACCTAAATGAGCATGGTAGCTCATGCTTGTAATCCCAACACTTGGTAGACTGAGGCAAAAGTTGAAACCAGCCTGGGCTTCATAGTGAATTCCAAGCCAGCCTAGGCTAAAGAATGAGACCCTGTCTCAAAAGAAACAACAACAATAACAAAATAGAGTAAATGCCTAAATGTAAGGCACAAACTATAAAACTCCTAGAATAGAACATGGGCAAAAGTATCTTTACATTATTGTTTGCAGCAGGTTTTTTTAATATGATATTTTTATTCTTTGAGAATTTCAGTGTATTTTGATTATATTCACCCCCACTCCTGCCTGTAGCTCCTCTTAGATCCATTCCTGACACCACTCCCAACTTTGTGTCCTCTTTTTTAAAAAAAATTTTTAACGTCACCAAAAATAGAAAACAAAAATAGGAAATTGTCATGGAAATGATTTTTTTGGATATCCCCAAAAGCTCAGGAAATATTAAGTCATACATCAAACTAAAATGATTCTGCACATCAAAGGAAATAGAAAAATGAAAAGGCTGTCTACAGAATGAGAAAATGTCCGTGTACCATATATCTGGTAATGGTTGGATCCCCTGTAACTGGTGTTAATGATGGTTGTGAGTCACCATATGGGTCACAAGTGCTCTTAACCACTGAGCTATCTCTCCAGCCCCCTACAGTAACATTTTTTTTAAAACTAAATGTGTTTATCCCTTCACAGAGAAATTCTTTTACCTTGTAGTCTTATAAATGTGCATTCAAATGCCTATACAAGGACATTTACTGCAACTTTTTTTTTTTGTCTTATTAAGACAGGGTCTCCCTGTAGCCCCAGCTGGCCTGGCACTTGCTGTGTAGACCAGGTTGGCCTCGAACTCACAGAGATCTGCCTGCCTCTGCCTCCTGAGTGCTGGGACAAAAGGCAAGAACAACCACTCCCGGCTTACTGCAACATTTTTATGTAATGATAGAAAATTAGAGACAAATAACAATAAAAAAAAAGAATACTTACAAAGAACATGGACTAACCATAGTGTAGACTGCTACAGAGCATGGATTGCTAAATTTGAAACAAGTTAAACAGGGAATGTGGCTTAATGGTAGAGTGCTTTCCTAGCATGTATGAGTTCCTGGTTCCGTACCTACTCTCATCAAAAATTAAATAAATAAAAGTATGTTGCAGAGTAATGTAGACAGTGTGATCCTATTTAAAACCCACAGAAATAAAAATGGAACACATGTATCTAAGTACAAATGCTTAAAAGGAGGAGAAGCTGGGATTTCAGATGAAGGAGGACCATAAATTTTACTCTATATGCTTCATTTTACTTAAATTCTGTACTTGATTTCTATAACTTAGAAAAACATGTAATTTTAGGATATACATTTAGATAGTAAATTTAATGAAATAGAAAACACTATACATGTATAGTTAGTTTCTCTATCCTTACATAAATATGTAAAATAAAATCTAAAATAAAACCCTCTAGCCATGTATGATGGCATATACCTTTAATCCCAGCACCCGGGAGACAAAGGCAGGCTGATCTCTATGAGATTGAAACCAATCTGCAGGGCACGTTCCAGGCTAGCTGGGGCTGTAGGGAGACTCTGTCTCAAAACAAACAAGCAGACAAAAAGCAAACAAAAGAAGAAATCCTCTATTCTTATTTCCTAAAATATGTTATTAAATAATCCAGTTGGTAATATTTATTAGATCCTTGCTATGAGTCTTCCTCTGTTTTTGGGAGCATTAAGAGAAAGTACAAAGCAACTTTTAACAGCAGCACCTTCTATCAACTGAATACTGTGAGCCAGACTTTGTATTCACCTCATTTGGTGTGGTAGATGATAGCATGCCCATTGTGTTTGGTCAAACACCTTATCTAATGTAGTTTCACTCCAAGTCCTGACCCTTTGAGTATAGAACCAATGCTTATGCCCATTTCCTTTGAAGATTTTCAGAAGATATGATCTGGGAATAAAAAATGACCAATGAGTATTTTCTATTTGTCTGCATAATATGTATATATCTTTTGTGTTTCTCCAACTGCATCATTTTGACCAGTTAATGGCATATAGGTAAAGATACAACGTTCTACCAAATGTGAACTGACTAATATTTTTGTATTCCAGATTCAGGGATCAGTTTACTTCGTAAAAAATCATTGGAAAAGGAAGAATTATGCCAAAGACTTAAAGAACAATTAGATGCTCTTGAAAAAGAAACTGCATCTAAGCTTTCTGAAATGGATTCATTTAATAATCAGTTGAAGGTATTTATCTTTTATTATATTCATTTCTATATTGCTACCTTCTTGAAAAGCTACTGTTTTTATATTACTGCATTTTCATAATTTATTATATAAGTTCAACTATACCAGAATTGCAGTATTGTTTTTAATGGTCTCTAAAATATAGTAAATGTTGTGCAATATGACTAAATACCTTCTTCAGAGTTTCTAGTTTTTTGGTTTTTTTTTTTTTTTTTTTTTTTTTTTTTTTTTTTTCTTTTTTTGGTCTTTTTGAGACAGGGTCTCCCTGTAGCCCCAGCTGACCTGGAACTCGCTATGTAGACCAGGCTGGCCTCGAACTTAAAAGAGATCCACCTGCCTCTGCCTTCCAAGTACTGGGATTAAAGGCGTGCACCACCACGCCCCGAGAGTTTCCAGTTTTTTATGACTATACTCTTTTCATTGGCATTCATGTATTTTTAAAACAACTGCCTTTGTCAGTATCTCAAAACTGATGTCAGCCTAAATGATTTCAGTCAGTATTCTAAATGGAAAGCATGCTGGGCATGGTGGTACACAACTTGTAATCCCAGAACTTGGGAGTCTGGGGGAGGAGGATCAGGAATTAAAGGTCATTCCTCACCTACATAGCTAGTTTGAGGCTAGCCTGGGCTACATGAGATTCTGTCTCAAGAAGGGAGGGAGCAGTGAACATGGAAATTTTAAAATAGTTCTGGTGCTAGATCTTTTAACACACTAAATTCTTTTGTTTCTTTGTTACAAGGTAGTTAAATCTTTATGAAATAATGCAGTAGTTAGTGAAATCTAAAGCAGAATGTGACACTGTACACTTTGCTTGAATTGAATTGAAGAATTAAGTTTATGATCATTGTTTGCTACAGTGGCAGAGCAAGTGTCCAAAGCATACCATGTGTTTATCTTTTGGGACAATGTTAGTTGAATACTGAAGCCATATATATGAATGGAGATAATAACCCAAAGCCAGACTAATTGTATATAATTTAAATTTGGAAATAGTCTCATTTATTCCTTTGCTAACTATGCAGAAAGTTATCAAAGCATATGATGTTGTCTAATACTTCTATAAGAAAGCTATTCATGTGGCTTTTATCTTGTTGACTTATTTAGAATAACATTAGCATCAACTATGGAATAAACAGCATGATAAAGAAAAGACATCAGTGGTGGCTTCAGTTAAGGACAGGAAATTGAGGTGAATAATGTTAATAATATACTTTACACAAATATATATCCTATAGAAAAAGTTAAAATGTGATCATTTGTCATTGATGGTCAGACAAGCCAGTCAAGTTGTCTTCCTTACATTATTCTTTTAAATCTGTACATAGTTTAACTGGCTTTTTATCTGCCTTATCTTACAGTGTGGGAATATGGATGACTCTGTTCTTCAGTGCCTTTTGTCTCTGCTAAGCTGTCTCAACAACCTCTTCCTCTTACTTAAGGTTATTTTCTAATATCTAGCTTCCTGGGTTTTTTTTTTTTTTTTTAGTTACTTTACTGTTTTTCTTTTTTTTTTTAACTAGATTATTCTTTGCTTTTATCTGATTATCTTTGTTTGGAATAACATATACAATAAAAACCTTTTCTTCCTTTCTGCTTGCTCTAATATCCTTCTGCTGTCTAATTGCCTGTTGAGTCTAATGCCAGAAATCAGAAAGGCTGCCCATAGTAACCTCCCTCATGAGGAACCCAACTGGTTCCCTTATATTATCCTATGGATTGGGTTAACCAATGGGGTGATTAGGAATTCAAGGGAAAACTAAGGAAATGTGAGATTAAATCATTTACTCACATCACTACAAGCCTTTGCTTAAGTTTCTACTTCCTGCAGTCTGGGCCAGGGTTATGTCATGTGTACCAGGTTGTATCCTAATTCTACCATAAGGAAAAATGCAAAGAACTAATAATACTAGGGCAGCATGAGTTGTATCACTTACCAGGCCTTGTATATTTTGGCATGCTTGGACTTCAGGTATTTAAGTTATATGTATAAATAATTTCATTTGCATATATAATACACAGGCTATTCAAAATACTCAATGAATTCCTGCTTTAATATAGTTTAAAGAAAGGTGATTTATATTAACCACTTGTTACCCTCATAGATTTTGACTACACATTCTAATCAGTGCTAAAGTGCATGACAGTAGGCAGTTAGGTATATATTCCATAGTAAAGATGGGTACTTCATAATTGCACCTCAGTTGTTCCTGAAGCAAAGGAAGGACACATTGAAGAGGTGGCAGCAGCAGGGTTCCACATTATCCTGGGTTGTTATCGCACAACTGGCCAGATTATCTGGTCTTAGACCTTTTGCTACAGTTCATACAGAAACTTAAATGTAAGTTTCTTTATCTGTAAAATGAAGTTCAGTGTTGATCTGTGGGTTGTACTCATATAATACAGTCCGATTCTTCCAGTCAGCATTTGATTCTCCACAGGCCAGCAGACTGTTCTGTCTTGTTTTACTCTCTTCTGCTTCCTGCTTTCTAGTTTTTCACTGCTTATTGATACTTTTCATCAGAGACAATTTAGGAAACTAAAGGGGTGTGAAATCTGTACTGTCAGACTAGTTAGGAGACAACTATGGTGTTACAGAAATCAAGAAAAAGAAGCCTTTTGTAGTCATCACTGAAAAATGATACAGTGATCATTTAACACTGAGAAAGAATCCTTTGACTGTCAACAAGCAGTCCTTTGAAGACCTTTCTAAAAGTGCCATTTCAGTTGAAAGTATAAGCAGAAGTTGGACTGCAGTGGTTCAGTAGCAAATGGGAATCAAGAAGGGTTCAATGAATATGCATAATTCTGAAGAGCGTGAGAAGAAAGCATATGGTTAAGGGGATGGGCTAAAGAAAAACTTGAAGGAAACAACAGAGATAGGAAAGTGAGGGGAAGAGATGGAGGTTGAGTATAAAAAGTGGTGATAAATGATGGAGCACAGTCCTTGGAGTAGATTAAGAGAAAACAATCCAGGGGCTGAGGAAATGGCCCAGTGAGTAAAGTGCTTGCCATGCAAAATACCCACATAAAAAAGCCAGGTGTGGCATGCCCATCTGTAATTCCAGTGCTGGGGAGATGGAGACAAGGAGAGACCCTGTCTCAAAAAAAATAAGGTGGAGAACAGTTGAGGAAGACATCTGGCATCAAGCCTATACACACACACACACACACACACACACACACACACACACACACCAAGCATACACACACACACGTGCACGCATGTGGACAAATGTATGCACACCAAAGAGAGAGAGAAGAGAGTGAGGGAAGGAGAGAGAGAGAGTGAGAGCAGGAAGGAAAAGAAAAAGAAAAATCCAGAGCGTAGAATAAAGGATTACATAAAAAAATATTTCCAGGGCCAGGTGAGATGGCACAGCAAGTAAGGGTGCTTGCTGCCAAGCCTAATGACCTGAATTCAATCCCTAGGACTCAACATGGTAGAAGGAGAGAATTGACCTCCAAAAGTCATTTTCCAACCTCTACATGCATGCTGTGGAATGTATGTGCACTCTCACACACACATAAGTAAATGTAATTTAAAAAAATACTTCCATTATAACATAGGGAAAAAGATGAATGCAGTTAAATTTGTTGGTAGAAAGCAGACAGTTAACAGCTTCAAGACTTAGAAATATATTGACTCTCACAAGAAAGAATCTTCCTAGGTAAGTAAGGACATGGAATAACTCAGGGTCAAAATAAAGAGGTGCAGGATGTTTTACTGACTTTTGAGGTAGAACAATGAAGAAGTTCCAGGCTGATGGATTCAAACAGGTGAGGTTTTTAATGAAGAGAATATATGGGAGATTAGAAAGTTTTAGGAGATAGAAGTGGGCCTAAAATAGATGTCAGGTGGGTGGTGTGGGTGGGTACAAGCTTGGTAGAAGAAAATAGTATGTTGAGCAATGTTAAATGCCTATTTCAAGTTGGAGGTCAGGAGTTTTAAATTGAAGGCTACCTGCCTAATTATATGATTTTTCTCTACTAATGTACAGAAGCGTAGATGTAAACACAGAGAAGACTAATGAAATAGGTTCATGCGTTCATAGAGGGTTCATAGACATAGGCCAAGAAGGAGAGGCAAGGGAGTTACAGATCTAAACTCAAGAATCATGATAAAGGGGCTAGAGAGATGACTCAGTGCTTAAGAGCACTGGTTGGTCTTGCAGAGAACCCAGGTTTGATTCCCAGCACCCACATGGCAGCCAACAATCGTATGTAACTCCAAGTCCAAGGGCTCCAATTCCTCTCCTGACCTTCATGGGCATTGCACAACATGGGTGTGCCTACTTACATGCAGGAAATATTCTCATATGCATAAAATAAAAATAATAAAAATATTTTTGAAAGAATTATGATAAAGATGAACTCTGAAACAGGAACTAGATGTGAAAGGACAAGAAGAGAGGAAGAGGTGCTGATGAAGGAAAAGAATGATAGAAGCAGCAGAGTAGAGGTCTCAGGGAAGTTGAAAGACCATTGAAATGGCTGTGCCATTTTCTTATCATAGAAAAGCTCAGAGGCTGAGAACTTATGTGTGAAGAATGGGATATTTTGTCGATGGTAGTTCTGATTCTGATGATTATAGAACTCAGGGTGTACTAGTAGGAATGGTCCATTAAGAAGGATTGAAAAGGTCATTGGTCTGGCCTTAGATTTAGGGTCTTTAAAATTTTTTTTAATGCTTTATTTATTTATTCACTATTTATTTATTTATTATTTATTTATTTTGGTCTTTTTAAGACAGGATCTCCCTGTAGCCCCAGCTGACTTTGAACTCACAAAGATCTGCCTGCCTCTGCCTCTGCCTCTGCCTCTGCCTCTGCCTCTGCCTCTGCCTCTGCTGGGATTAAAGGCATGCACCACTACACCTGGCCATTTATTTTTATTTTATGTGTATGAGTGTTATGCCTGCATGTAAGTTAAATTACTTGTGTTGTGCAGTGCCTGCAGAAGCCAAAAGAGGGTGTCACATCCTCGAGTTACAGATGGTTGTTAGCCACCATATGGGTGCTGGGGTTCAAACCTAGGTCCTCTGCAAGAGCAGCCAGTGCTCTTAACTACTGAGCCATCTCTCCAGTCCCCGGGATTTAGATGTATGGGTCATCAATACAGATATCAAAGAATTAAACAGTAATGAGAATGAATAAATGAGAATCAGCAACCAGGTGATCAATAGGTGACAATTAAAACAAAGAGGGTAAGCCAGGTGTGGTGGCACACGCCTTTAATCCCAGCACTCCGGAGGCAGAGGCAGGTGGGTCTCTGTGAATTCAAGGCCAGCCTGGTTTACTTAGTTCTAGGACAGCTGGGGCTACAGGAAGACCCTGTCTCAAAAAGACAAAAAAAAAAAAAAAAAAAAAAAAAAAAAAAAAAGGGCAGATGGTACTGCTGGATAGTCTGAGTTTTTAAGAGCGAGGGGAGACAGTGCTTCTAAATGGCAATGAAAAAGGAAAATGTTAGCTATCTCCTGTCCCTAATGGAAATGGAAAAATAGTGTCTTGAGGAATCAGCCAAGAGAGCAAAGAGGTAAGGGAATTTCCATTCAGTAGGGGATTAGATCAGATCAAGGAATAAAGAGATGAAGAACTGAAATTGATAATGACAGGGAAGGCTGGATCCATTAGTAAGACTGGTGGAGTTGATCCAGATGGTCCTGGAGGAGGAAACACTTCATCAAGATGCTCTGGTCCTTAGGGCCTGCAGAGTATCTGGAGTGGTCACACCTATAAACTATCTATATGACAACAGAAGTATAATTATTTCAAATCATTTCCTAGAAAGTTATGTTTCATTAGAACATGTAACCTACATGTATAGTTGATGATAATTTTTACTCTTGTTCAAGTTCTGTCAAGACAAACAGCAAAGCTAGTGTGTTCAAAGGTAAGACCTGAAGTGTCTAATACTCATTAAGAAAAGTCATACATTACTCAATGTGTAAGCAGTGAAGTACAGTGAAAAAAAATACTGACCTAGAAATCTGAAAAAGTTCTAGTCTTATCATCTGTTTGTTAGTTGTATAATTATTTGTCATTTACACTCCCCAAGCCCCAAATTTCACTTCCTTCATTTACAAGATGAAACCTCTTTGGAGACTCTTATGGTGATTAACTGAAATAGCATACACACACAAGCACACGTGTGTGCATACACACAGAGATGTGCTTTATATATCCTTGTATGTTATACAAATATTTTTGTTGTACTTAATTAGGGAAAGAGTTCTACAGAATCTGTAAACTATCTTTATTATGGTAGAAAGTCACCACTGTTGGCTTTGGACAATGTCAAAGAAGTCCTTTTCTGCAGAGGAAGAATAGAATTTGTCAACACCAGAACTTTGTCTTCTCCAGTTGTTAAGTCTTGTCCTATGCTCCCAAAGATTAGAGGTAATCTATGTTAGTGATACCCCTCGAAATGGCAAGGGGAAATT